ATAGTTCAATCAAACAAAAAAATATCCCAATACGCCTTCGTTACCGAAGCTAACCTGTTTTTCTAAATTTGATTTTTCCTCATGCCAAACATGACTCTGATTGAGGATTTTTTCGTTCTCCTTTGTCAACTTGCGATTCTTTTCAGTAGTTTCTATGAGCTGCTTCACACTTGCAACTGCAAATATGGAGATCTGTTTGCCTTATACTTCATTCTTCTTATTCAGGAAAAGAATAAAAATTAAAGCCTGTAACAAGTGAAGTTCTTAATACTTCTGTAGACATAAACAATGAACTAAGAAAGTCATTTGTATGAAAAATGTACAAGAACAACCAGTCTAACAAAGAACAATAAAAACCTAATGCTTCCTTCTCTTCGACGTCTGCCTGATTCCTTTCCGAATTCCTGAAAAAGAAATACGAAAGAGGATTGAAAAAGAACAGAATATGTACATAACAACAAGTGATCAGTACTTTCACGAAAAGTTCAAGATGCGGGAAAAAGTTCGCTTCAAGATGAGCTTAACCACCTAGATGCAGAATCGTCAAACTTTTCAAAAAAGCAAGTAGTAATAGCGTCACAACTATAGCAGCAAGCAAGAATCAAAGCGTTAACCGTCCTCCAGTTACCCAGTCAACAGTTGAGGAGAACGCGAAAAAAACAGCTAGAAGACCATTTCCATTAACGATTTTTTTCGCCCATATAATAGTAAGCAAAAAACAGAATTCGAAAGGAGGGACTAAGCACATTTCGAGTTTATCGTCTACATGGTGGAGAAGGGTGATCCATTTTTTGATTTTCATTTTGGAACGTTCAATCAATTTCTTTATATGAATATTATTTACTATAAACGTGGAAATCCGAAAAACATAAGCGGTTTTCAGATCGTGTTCAGCCTCCACAAACTCTTGGAACCTTTGACCAATGCTTCGCAGTCACAAAATAGTAGTAGCATTAGTTCGTCTAAGAAATTCAATTACGCTGTTTCTGAAAAATGCAAATTCAAAAGTCTTATAGAACAGGCTTTTCTCTACAACGACCCATAGAGAAAAACCACTGCACCAAGATCCGAGGAAGTGGAAGGCCACCCTTAACGGTTGATGAAATCAGAAAGGTACTCCGCGCACAATATCTGGACTACTCTCGCTTTATGTGCCAGAGCTAAATCTTGGTCCAAGCACCAGGAGGCCTAGACAATCCATTGGCCCATGGCTGTAAACTTTTCTAAAGACATTTTTGTTAACTCTATCCAAAATCATAATGATTGAGAATCCGCGTTTTTCATCGAGTCGCTCTTTGTCAAGAGTAAGCAGGTGCGTGCTTGCTTTATCAGACATCTAGATATGGAATATCTCAAAATGGAGCGATGAATTCGTGGGGCAAAACGGATGATCACGCCTGCATGTCGTGTGAACGGCAATGGCCAAACGACCAAGGAATTATGTGAAGACTACAGGCGATCATTTTGAAAGCCCTATTTTCGGATTATCATTATGTGGCAAACAATATTCTTACCCAAAATTGATTTATAAAAGTGTGTTTCAGAATGAAAATCATAATATTGGCACATCAACGATTTTGCCCCACTCTGTATGCTCACGCCGCGAGCAGCAGTTCAGCAGAAGTTCACGAAATTACTCATCCGTGGCACTTCGGGAGAGGGAAAGTAAATAACAAAAAATATAGCAGAGGGAGGGCGCAAACCATTACTCAACTACCACCTGATTAGCATAGGAAAGAGGTATTTAACAGGAATCAGAATTCAGTGCTTGGACCTAACAATCAACCATACGCCCCGTAGACGCAACTTTTATCGAGTTTGATGTAAATAGTCCTGGCGCCAAGCTGACGCCAGCGCCAACGATAAACGTCATATACGTGATGAGGGCCTCAACAACCCCCGCAGGAAGAGGTTTCATCAAAAACAGACCAGCCTTCTCCCCAGTGGAGCTGTAATAGTGCAGTTGTGCTTTGATTTCTAGTGATGGGAACTTACTCAAAAAAGCTTCGCACCGAAGAGTGCCGGTTTTGCACGATTGGAGTTGAAGTAAGCGGCGAAAAGTAGGAACCCACAGGGCTTTCATTACCATCGTCCTAAATAAGTATCAACTTACTTGATAAAAACAAGGGACAAAAAATCAAGGGCAATGGGAGGAACATGAGTTGGTAGAGAAAAAAGTGGAATATAATACCGTGAAATCTTCGTATTCGCGAGGCGTTGGATGACCACTGTCTGGATCCACCTCGCCTAGACGCCGCATAGTGTAATGTTCGATGGCTCTTCAGCGTCGAAAGCGAACTGAAAAGAAACACCACAGTTAAATGAGCGCAACAGATGAAAACTCAGGTCAAACCCAGTAAGTGGCATGTGGTGCGAGAATTCATATCGCCTGAAGTATTCAATTTTCGTGTGAGAGGGAAGGCGGTGAGTGTAAAAGCTATTACGGCCTTAGGCCGCGTTCATAGTTCGCGACTCCGGAGATTAGGATAGTACGCGACAATGAAAAACATATGTATTGACGGGAGATTAGGATAGTAGTAGATAGGATAGTAGTAGAGTAGGAGATTGCGCTGACAAGATTAGATACGTATCGATTGAAATCGCCGGAGAGTAGTAGATTGCGATATTACGATAGTAGGATAGTAGTAGAGTAGGATAGTGCGCTGACAAGATTAGATATGTATTGATCTATTCGCTTGAAGTCGCCCATCTACTACTCTTCACGATTTCAATCGATACGTATCTGATCTTGTCAGCGCAATCTCCTACTCTACTACTATCCTGATATCCTGTCGCCTACTATCCTAATCTTCCGAGTCGCGAACTATGAACGAGGCCTAAGGCCGTAATAGCTTTTACACTCACCGCCTTCCCTCTCACACGAAAATTGAATTACTTCAGGCGATATGAATTCTCG